ACGGGGGCTGGCACTGCGGAGAGGCTCCCGGCCCAGGAGACAGCTGCAGCTCCTTCTGCAGCTCCCTGCCCATTTTTAGAAGCACTTTCCCCCCCCTCTCCACCCCTCTCCTCTCTGAAGTAATGTGATGGGGCTGCACATTTTCCAGGATAAAGTTTCCTTGGCTTTGCAAGCTGTGCCTTGAGCCTCCCCCCCTCCTCTCCTGTTAACGCTTCGCTCCCAAGGGCTTTGCTTGGTTTGGGTTTGGCCAACACTCTTCGAGTCCTTCCTTCAGGAGAGAGTGTTCTGCTAGAAAAGTCACGTTTTCTTTAGTGGAAATAGCAAATTCAAGGTGCTTTTCCACCTCTTCCCTCACGTGCTGCGTTGTTCCTGCAAAATTTCCCCTTCAAGGCATCTCCAGGAATCATCTGGGGCCACTTTGTGCCTTTCCCAACCCAACGATGACCTTCCGTTGAGCTGAGGTGCTTGCACCAGGTTCTCCTGCCCCACGTGCTGGGTGCAGACGCTGGCAGCAGCACCCCCTAAAGTCCTTCTTTGTCACCTGAGGTCACTGCCACCCCTCCCCGGGGGCTTTTGGGGGGTTCCTTGGTCGTGAAGTGGGGCGAGACTGCATGGCCAAGTCTAAACTCCACTGAAAATGGTCTTCCCTTCTTCTTCCATGGTTGCATGAAATGGTTTCAGGGGGGTCAGAGGAGACACACCCACAGGAATTACTGTCCCAAATCTCTGGCCCAGCACCCTTTGGTCCCATCCAGCAGTGCCCTGATGCTGAGGTCTGTGTGGCTGTGAGCAGTGCTTGGCTCTTGTCCACAAACTGCAGCCTACTTCCCCAGATGATGAAAATTTGGAGAAGTTGGGAAATCAAAGCAAACCTGTTCCTCTTTTTATTTGTTTTTTCTAGAGGACACTTGTTTTGGTTTTAACCCCAGCATGAAATAATGGTGACCCTTTTTTCTTGGCTTTCGTTGCAGGCTCCCAACCATCTAACCCAAGATGTCTGAGTAAGTTCCCATTTTTCTGTCACATATTGTTGGCATTTAAAAACCTTTTGGTCCACTGCCAACTCTTCAAAGTCGTGAAGAACCCTCTGCTTGTTTCCAGTGAGGATGCTAACTGCCTTTCTCTCCCCTTTCTCTTCCTTCCCTTCCTTGTCCATCTGCTCTTCCTGAACAGTGATGAGGTGAGTGTGTCTTGTTGGGCTTTTTCCTTCAGTGATGCTCATGGCATCAATTCTGACTTCACCACTCCCCCTTAGGCAAAGCAGCTGCTGGGTGTTGGGGGAAAGCTGCTTCATGTTGCTCATTCCTCCTGGTAATGATGGAAAGGAGAAGAAAAAGCCCTTCTGAAGGTGTTTTCTGCCTCCTGGCTTGGAGTCAGATGGGTTTTTTTCCCTTCTTTCCCGTTTCCCCAGCTGGCCACGAGATGGTGCTGGGAAGGCAGTGGTCCAGAGCTGCTGCTTCTCCATCACCCATCCACCCCTCAGCCCTTGGCCTCACATCTTCTGGTCCTTCCTCACACCTAGCCCCTCATTTTCTGCCCAAATCGCTTCTCAAAGGCAATCCAGGGAGACCTGGAGCCAGGGGAGCGTGAGCAGGGTGGAGGTGGCACCCTTAGGAAGTTCTCCCTGGCTTCTGGCAGAGCTGGAGCAAGGCTGGGCTTGAAGCCTGGAGGTGGCTGAGTGATGGTGCTGCTGGTCCACCTTGTGCTTTTATTCCCCCACCAAACCCAGTGGCCCCAGGCAAGGCTGGGAGGGCACTGGTTGCTGAGGAACCCAATTTCAGATGGAGAACAAGCCCTGGGCTAGCAGTGCTCAAGGGCTCTGCCCCATGGTGGCCCATCCCTGCTTTCACACCAGCCAAATCCTGCTGGTGACTGGTGCACCACATCTCAGAGCTGGAGACCTTTTCTCTGTAGAACCCTCCAGCACTTCCAGAAGGGCCTCAGCACCATTTGCCTATGCAAAACAAGGCAGATTTTGTCACATTCTGCTCTGCAGATCTTTATCCACTTCCTCCTCGGCGCAGCACAGGTCACACCCAAACGTTGCTTTCTACTCCCCCACGGTGGCTTTTCAGATGTCAGGGTGCACTTCCCCCTCCACCAGCCACGTTCAACCTTGCTCAGACTTCTGGGCAAAGTGTTGGAGAGTTGAGGAAACAGCTGCAAGGCAGCAGCACGTCCAAGTTGTGGCTTCTTTTATAAAGAGGAGACCTAGACCTCTTGCTGCTCTTCCAGCCCATCGCTGGCCTCAAGAGGTCTTCCAGGCTCTCCAACTTCTCACCTGGCATCCCAGGGAAGAAGAGGGAGCTGGTTTACATCTTGCAGCCATGGCCTGATTGACCTTCCACGTCTCCTGGCCAGAGCTTCCAGGCCTGCAGACCCTTGTGTGTCCTCCAGCTGTGAGGAACCCCCTGCAGAGCTGAGATGGGTTTTTTGAGCTCAAAAAAGGCTAAAAGCTTCAAGAGGCCAAGTCTGAACTTCTGTTTGGTAGGCATACCAGTTGGATTTGATGACCTTAAAGGTTGATTTGATGATCTTAAAGGTTGATTTGATGATCTTAAAGGTCTCTTCCAACCAAAATGGTTCTGTGAGTCTGTCTGTCACACTCATTGCCTCTTCCTGAAGCACGTGGAGGTTTTAGCTACGTGAGGTTGGCAAAGTTGGGTTCAGCAAGGAGCCCTGTGTGCCAAGCTGTCCATCCTGGCTGGCACCAGATCTTCAGCAGGCTGTGGGGTTGGGTGGAGAAGGGGAAGAGGAAGGGGAATGGACACTTGCTAACCTGCTGTCCTCTCTTCTTCCTTCCACTTGCAGAAAAAAAGGAGGGCAGCCACTGCCCGCCGGCAGCACCTCAAGGTACGTGGCACTGCTGGGGCTGGACGAGGTGTGTCCCAACCATCCCACCTCCCACCCTGAGCCAACCAGCTCTTGGCACCTTCCCTCCTGGCAGAGGCCACGTTGCACAACGTGGGGACCCTCGTCCAACCCCTCACTGGGTCCCCACCATTATCCCTTGCTTGGAGATGCTGGTATTGATGGGGAGCTCCCCAAGCTACCTCTCCATCAGGGCTGTCCTCCTCCTTGCTGCCTACTCCTGCTCTCCTCCCTTGCCTCCACCCCATGCTGACCATCCTCCTGCTGCCTTCCAGAGTGCTATGCTCCAGCTTGCTGTCAGTGAAATAGAGAAAGAAGCAGCTGCTAAGGAGGTGGAAAAGCAAAACTACCTGGCAGAGCATTGCCCTCCTCTGTCACTCCCAGGATCCATGCAGGAACTTCAGGTAAAGCCTTCTTTAACCCTTTCCCAGAAAGGATGTGGCTCCAGCAGTTCAGCCTGGTGGATCTAGATGGACTTTCCTATCTTGAGCCCCTTCCCACGGGTGGGTGTCCTGGAGCTGGTTGGATGTGGAACGGGCTTGAGAGGCAGCTGAGGTCTCTCTGCACTAAAAAAAGGGTCTGGCTGGCAGGAAAGCTGCATTTCTAACCTTGTGTTGAGGTGGAATTTGTGTGAAGCCAGTAGCACAGAATCATCCAATGGGTTGGGTGGGAAAGGACCTTTCAAGGTCATCCAGTCCAACATCCCTGCAGTGAGCAGGGACATCATCTACTAGAGCAGGTTGCTCAGAGCCCCATCCAACCTGACCTTGCAGACCAGGAGCTGGCCTGCAAGCCCCTTCTCTTGACCCATCTGGACCCAAACCCACCCATCTGGTCTTGACCCCTTCTGATCTTTTGGACTGAGATCTTTTAAGGCCAGAGCAGGAGAAAGGAATCACGTGTGTGAGTCTTAGCAGTCAACGTCCCTCTCTCCTTCTGCTCCCAGGAGCTGTGCAAAAAGCTTCACGCCAAGATAGAGGCAGTGGATGAGGAGAGGTATGACACAGAGGTGAAGCTCCAGAAGACAAACAAGGAGGTGAGTTCCTTCAGGAACCTTCAGGAGGGTCTCCAGCCCACCCCTCACGCTCCTCCTCACTCAGCTCATGTCCAGCTCACAAAACCCACGCTCTGCTCTCTCTCTGCCCCTCCTCTTTTCATCCTTCTGCAGCTGGAAGACTTGAGCCAGAAGCTCTTTGACCTGCGGGGCAAGTTCAAGAGGCCACCCCTGCGTAGGGTGAGGATGTCGGCCGACGCCATGCTGAGAGCCCTGCTGGGCTCCAAGCACAAGGTCTGCATGGACCTCCGAGCCAACCTGAAGCAGGTCAAGAAGGAGGACACTGAGAAGGTACTCCTTCCCTCCACCCTGTGCCCCTACAGCAGTTGGCCCCATTTTTTTGGGGGGGTCATGTCTCCCTGTGTGACGGGGTTGAGCGTGAGTCTATCTCCAGAAGGTTCTTCCTGCTCAACGTCTCCTCCTCTGGCACCCGTGGTGTTGAGGAAGGAAAATGCAGCCCCAAATGATGTACAGCATGGGTGGAATTGGGTTCCTCCATGGTTTTTCCACGGGTGGGCAGGTCAAGGGTGGGTTCTCACCTTGGGGTCACCACTCACCCCCTCCCGCAGGAGAAGGACCTCCGCGACGTCGGGGACTGGAGGAAGAACATCGAGGAGAAGTCTGGCATGGAGGGCAGGAAGAAGATGTTTGAGGCTGGGGAGTCCTAAGCACCTGCCTCTCCACAGCTTTCCTTTGCTCCCTCCTGTCCCTGCTGTCCCCCCCTGGGCTCAGGGGCCCTGGCTGGGGGACATTTCTCCTGGAGTTCACGAGGAGCTGCGTCCTGGCAGCAGCGGTGTAAATAAAGCCTTGGCTGGAGGGGACGGTGTCGCCTGCCTGGGGGGGACAAGACCTTGACCCCTGCCATGGTGCCACCAGGGTCCATCCTCCACCGTGGAGGACAGGGAGGTCTTGGTGGGCCAGACGTTGGGGCCCCCAGGGTCCATCCTCCGCCGTTGGGCACTGTGAGGTCTTGGTGGGCCAGACCTCGACCCCTGCCATGGTGCCAGCAGGGTTCATCCTCCACCATGGAGGTTGGGGATGTCTTGGTGGGCC